CATACAGGAGGGTTGCCACTCCACTGGCTGTCGCACCACACGTCAATATTGACTCTCCCATCAGATTGTAGCCAGTGTTACATGTGTACTCTGCTGTATCTCCAAGAGAGTTTCCACTGAGGTTGAGATTGCCATTATCAGGATCATTGAGAGTGGGACACATAACCACTGAGTGGAAAATAAGGCGGTGTTAGAATAAATGCCAATTGCCACACTAAATGTGTATTTACTCTGGCATGTAGGGTCAGATCCACTCCATGTGCCATCACTTTGACAAACACGCTCTGACATGCCAACCAGATTGAAACCAGTTTCGCATGCATATGTTGCAGTCTCCTGGTAAACACCACACCAGTTCCAGATATTAGCAGTGAGCCACTCATGGGACTACTGAGATCAGGACACTGGACAACTGTGTTCAAATAAGTCAGGTGTAGTCAGTGAGCCTGTGATATATAAAATTATTCTCAGATACTTACCCTCGCATACAGGAGGGGTGCCACTCCACTGGCTGTCGGCACCACACGTCAATATTGACTCTCCCATCAGATTGTAGCCAGTGTTACATGTGTACTCTGCTGTATCTCCAAGAGAGTTTCCACTGAGGTTGAGATTGCCATTATCAGGATCATTGAGAGTGGGACACATAACCACTGAGTGGAAAATAAGGCGATGTTAGAATAAATGCCAATTGCCACACTAAATGTGTATTTACTCTGGCATGTAGGGTCAGATCCACTCCATGTGCCATCACTTTGACAAACACGCTCTGACATGCCAACCAGATTGAAACCAGTTTCGCATGCATATGTTGCAGTCTCCTGGTAAACACCAGCACCAGTTCCAGATATTAGCAGTGAGCCACTCATGGGACTACTGAGATCAGGACACTGGGACAACTGTGTTCAAATAAGTCAGGTGTAGTCAGTGAGCCTGTGATATATAAAATTATTCTCAGATACTTACGCTCGCATACAGGAGGGTTCCCACTCCACTGGCTGTCGGCACCACATGTTAATATTGACTCTCCCATCAGATTGTAGCCAGTGTTACATGTGTACACTGCTGTATCTCCAAGAGAGTTTCCACTGAGGTTGAGATTGCCATTATCAGGATCATTGAGAGTGGGACACATAACCACTGAGTGGAAAATAAGGCGATGTTAGAATAAATGCCAATTGCCACACTAAATGTGTATTTACTCTGGCATGTAGGGTCAGATCCACTCCATGTGCCATCACTTTGACAAACACGCATCGACATGCCAACCAGATTGAAACCAGTTTCGCATGCATATGTTGCAGTCTCCTGGTAAACACCAGCACCAGTTCCAGATATTAGCAGTGAGCCACTCATGGGACTACTGAGATCAGGACACTGGACAACTGTGTTCAAATAAGTCAGGTGTAGTCAGTGAGCCTGTGATATATAAAATTATTCTCAGATACTTACGCTCGCATACAGGAGGGTTCCCACTCCACTGGCTGTCGGCACCACATGTTAATATTGACTCTCCCATCAGATTGTAGCCAGTGTTACATGTGTACTCTGCTGTATCTCCAAGAGAGTTTCCACTGAGGTTGAGATTGCCATTATCAGGATC